ACACCGACCAAGAGACCTCCCCATGGTCAACTGACCTTTGAGCAAGTGGCGGCAAATGAGCGTCTTTCGTCAGACCGCGTTATTGTGGAAAATTTCTTTGGACGACTGAAAACTCTCTGGGGACTGGTGTCCAACCAGTACAGTTGGAAGAAGGAAGAGTACAACATTTTCTTCCAAACCTGCGTTGCGCTGACGAATGTGCACATTCGTTTTAACCCTCTTCGAAATCTTGACGGAGAGGGTTACCATCAGTACAAGAATCGGCTAATCTCTATTGGCGGCAAGATCAAGGCGAAGAGGGAAGCAAGCAAGGCGAAATATCGGCAGAACCGCAGGGCGCGCATTCAATCTGCACTGTCTCGTACTGTTTCAGGCTACGCCAGTGAGGACTTGGACCTTGGCTACGATGAGGGCAACGAGATTTTTGATTAGGCTAATTGAAAATGTATTTCACTTGTCATTACCACGTCGATTTTCGGATGGTACGATGACGGAAGCATGTGCTTGATCGCGTGCGCGACAATTCGATGGGAATACTCGCTGTCGTCGTGGAGAAGTTCCAAGAGAATGCCGATTAAGCCTTCCGGGATCAGCTTTGGCCAGTCGGCGGGGTCCGGCAGGTGCACAAGGCTCAGCATGACGTTTCCTCGAAACGCCCCTGCAAACAATCATGTCAATGCCTCGTTTAGCAAGCGCAGCTGCAGATACCAGACGCCGTGTCGGGGGCCACACGGAGTGATGCAAACAACACGGTTTTGAACTCGCGGCGGGCGACGTAGCCTCAAAAGTTCTTTAGGGTGAGGAGGCACACGCGCCACGCTGCCGATCCTTCCTCCATTTGAAGCATGTGCAGCACCGTGCCTGGTTCAATACTGTGAGCCATGGCGATGTAATTTCATTCATGTGGAATTATTCCACCAACCTTCAAGAATCAATTGAAGCGCCGTGGGTAGCCGCTGAGACAACTTGTGTAGCGTCCCGGCCGCCTTGACGGCAACAATTCCATCCGTCGAATGCAGCGCAGTCAATAGGATCGGGATCCCACCA